GTCAATTTGATCAATTGGGTGCAAATTGGGGATTTGGACCTTTTGAGGCAAAATTGGAATATTGGTCAAAATTGGTCAAATTAGACCAAATGGATGGTTAAAAATTGGTTTTATTTGGACCTTTTGGGGCAAAATTGGAATATTGGTCAAAATTGGAATATTGGTCAAAATTGGTCAATATGGCCAAATTAGACCAAATGGATGGTTAAAAATTGGTTTTAGGGGTGTTTGAAATGATTTTGGAGGTTTTGGGAAATTTTGGGCCACCAAGGGCATTTTGTAATTTTGACAAATTTAGGAGTATTTTGGTAAATATGAAATTTTTGGGGTGTTTGAGTAATTTGGATGGTATGAAATGGTTTGAGATGATTTTGAACAAAGTTGAGGGATTTTGGTCAACCTTGAAATTTTAGGATTTTAGGGGTAGTTTGGTAATTTTGAGAAAATTTAGGACTAAAAGGTTAAAATTGGGTAATTGGGTAAGATTAAGGTTTTATGCAAATGCTGATCATATAACTACCCCCATGGTACCATGAGACCAGAAAACCCCACTTTAGATTCTCCATGTGCTAGTTTTATTCACCCTAGCCCAAGACTAAGGGTTGGGGGACCACTCACATGAGTCTCCAAAGAGCCAAGGGAATCAAACTAGACATGTGCATGAGTGGAAAGCGTGAAGTGCAAGTATGTGTGTACTAGACCAAGCCACATCACCCAGGTCCAACCCTAAGGTCAGACAGTCCTATGGGGAGCCCCTCTTGAGCTCCCACGTATTGGCTCCACCTACTAAGTGCTAGAGGTTAAAACCAACACATGGAACTTCAAGATGAGCAAAGAAGGGTAGAATTTTTATTGGTGATGGTATCATCACTAGTTTTCTAGGAATAGTCAATAGAAAAGTTTTATGACTAGATCCTAGGCTCCTAAGGAAGAAAGACTAGACCTCAACAAAAAGTGAGGTCAATAGTTGCATTGTGTCTAACTATTTTACTAGTCAACCGGTCAATGTGAGTGCACTCAAGTTGTGAGATCACTGCTCTCCTGAGTTTTAGTTTCACATGCAACAAATTTTAACATAACTTATTGCCACTTAAGTTATGCCAATGAAACAAATAAGATTACTCATCAAATGAAAATAAAAATAATTCTATCATGAAACAAATTTTTCTTCATATGCCACTACTTCATATTAAAAGAAAAGAGTAAAGAAAATTACTTACGAAGCATGGATAAAACACAATAGGAAACCTTATTTAAATAAATAAAAAAATATATTAGAAATTGTTTACAACAATTACAAGAAAATGAAGCACACAATACTTAGTTTTTTTCCTCTGAAAAAAAAAGAAAAATCTCTCCAACAAATTCTCATGCCGATTCATGCGCCGCTCATACTTCCTTACTCATATCTCTCAAAATGCATCACCAATCTCCCCAGAAAATGAAGAAATCTACATCTCCATAAACCTACACCAAACTCCTCCTAAAATACTTCATAATTTCTTTTCTTGACTCCTCTAATTACCTCCTAATTAAACCCTCATGAGAGTCGGCTTTGGCAGCGGAAGTCAGGAAGAAAAAAACTAAAAAAACCCCCGCTCCGACCACCTGTGATCTTAGTTGGTTCGGCAACCTCCAACCCCCCTAATTAAAAAGAAATAAAAACCCCTTCTTTCTCCAAAAGACACATGTCTTCATCCAATAGACATATTCTTTCATTTCAAGAGACACATTTTTTCATTAAAATGCTTTTCAAAATTTCTAGATTCATTGAATTACTCTATGGGGTGTGTAAGTTGTCCAAAAGCTTCTAGAACATCCTAGAATGGCCCAGAATCACAAAAAAGTCGTCTAATAACCATCTCATGCGCTATATCGCCTGTGTCTGGCGCTATGGCGCCATTCTGGGCGCGATAGCGCCACTTTCCACGTAGCTCCACCTTTTCACCATGTTTCACTCTGTTTTAGCTTCATTTCGCCCCATTTCAGTTTTGTTGTGCTCTAGATTGGTATGCCTACAAAATAGATATGAAAACAACCTTCATTTAAAGTGTAATTTCATTCAAAAACATGGAATAAATATGCAGATTAAGCATAGAAAGTCATAACGAAATGCACCAGATCAAAATTTTCTTCTTTGCTCAATTTGGCTTCAAATTACATCGTTTTTTTGTTTTATTTTCACCGAAAGTCCATTTCTTGTACCTGAAGACAAAAATATGCAGAATGCCTTCCTTTAAAGGTAACATCATAAAAAATGTTCATAAAATGAGTATGAAATGTACACTAAAAATATGTAATTTTTAGGTGGATCAGTGGTGAGAAGATTTATTATTACAGGTAATGTGCTTGTCACTCATTTGATAATTTTGTATAATCCAAATTATTTTATGCTAAAATATGCATGAAAATATATTAAATATTTTATTTTCTAACTCTACAAGAAGTTCTCACACATAAATAGATAAAATATAAGAATATAAGAGACACAAAAGTTTTAAATTGAAAACCCAAAAAAGGAAAATCTATAGCACCTAACATAGGAAAAATAATTCACTATACTGATTAAAATTACAAAAGGTCTCTCTTCTCTCTATTAGGTCAAGACATGATTATAAAGAATTACACTCAATGATAGCTCATTTTGTGATGATTGTGGTGAAAGTCGTGGGTGGTAAAGATGGAGGTTATGTGATGATAGTTAGCTAATGATATTAAGAGGATAACAATTGGGGGACAAAAATTAAGTGATAATGATGTTAATTAGGCGATGATGGACCAACAACAATAGTCAAATGATGACAATTAATTGATTGTGGCTAGACTATGGTGATTGAAATGGACAAATAATTATGGCACAACAATGGTGGTTGTATGATGATAATTTAAAGACTATGATTGGATAACAACAACCAAACAATGATGATTGGATGATGGTAATTATTAGTGGTTATTGATATTTGATGTAGAGTAAAGCTCCAGAGTTCTTCAATATACATACTCTCTCCAAATTCCAACCCAACACTTCTTTCATTTGGAGAATGAATGTTTATTTGTAATATTTGAGAATAATATTTTATTAGATTTATCTCCAATCCTAAAACACTTCACTAGATTGCTCATATTGATTCATTTAATCATATATCACTTCTTCAGCAATATGGACTAATACTATTTATATCCATAATATTTAGTGATCTTATACTAATTAATTTCTCTTGTTGAGAAGCTTAATTTGATTGCAAGTATATGTGATTTGAATACTATTTAGTTCTTCAATTAATATTTTTAATCAACTTATATATTCTTGATTTGGGCTCATTTGGATTCAAATTCGATTACTTATAATATTGTTAGATTTTGTCCTTCGAAGGCATTCAATTTTACTGTAAATTTGCTGAAATTGAGACTTGGATAATCTTAAATTTTTATTTTGAAAGTTATTTTATTCAATTGAAAGTCGTGTCATGCAAAATAAATTTTGTTAGTTTTTTTTTTCGGAAAATTTAAATACATTATTTATATATCTAACAACTAAACTTCAATTTCTACATTTATGTCATCATATCTATACATGAAAATTTATATTTCATTTTTTAACGTTAAAATAGTGATATTTTTTATATGATGATGTTTTTGGGCGGCATAAATGTCAAAAGTAAAATTTTTAGACGTTAAATATAAAAATACATATGAATTGATTGTTATATGTATATGTGTGTGTGTGTGTGTGTGAGCGCGCGCCGCTAACATTGGTTTGTTGGTGGCGGGATTACTGTATGTCCCCTTAAGTTAAGGGTTCGATCCTACAGTGAAGCAGAGCCCTAGAATTTTAGGCACTTGATATGAATTCTCTATCATGGGGCCAAAAAATGCATGAAAAATCGATATTTAGGCTTCTCAATGCCAAAATAAGAAAAGAAAAATGTTAAAATTCTATGCTTTTAAACTTATTAAGAAATAACTTGCAAATAAATATTTACCTTTCGTGTTTATAAGAATTTCTGCCACTTTCCATCTCTATTTGGCAAATTCGATTTGTCCTTTCGCCTGACGATTCGCTCTGCGGAGCCAAACGCAATGGCGGCGAACTTCTGGACCTCTTCTCATCAGTAACCCTTCTTCGTCCTCGTCTTCCATTGCTATTTCTGCTGGACCAAAATATCTCTTAATTTCAGAACTTACCTGCCCTTCTTTGGCCATGGCAGCAAGCAGCTTGTTGAGCAGGACAAGATCGACGTGGTGCACCCGATCGACAAGGAAAGGGGTCTTACTCTGGAGGAGTTCAAGCTTATCAAGATCCATATGACGAACCGTAAGCCCTCTTCCTGCCGCCAAGAAGCTTTATGTCTCTAGGGTTTTTGTTCCAAACACTGAAGGCTTCTATTTTAGAATCTGACCAATTTCCCTGCTTTATTAATGTTCACGTAATTAGATTAGGCTCGTAAATATGTTGATGTTTTATCGGCAGTATTATGATCTTTAGCTGCCCTTTTTAAGCTCGGAACATTGCAGTTTACAATTCTTATGTTTACTCTAAATTTTGTTGCAATAGAAGGAAGAATCAAATTGCTTCAACTCATTTTGCGACACTTGATACGTCAAATTTATAGTTTTCCTGTTTACCTTCTTCATATGGTTGAAGGCAGCTAACAAGTGAAACTGTCATTTTTTATACGCTACCTTGATGTTTTAAATTTTGTTTCTAAAAAAGTATGACTGTCAACTTAATTCATTTGTATTTATTCTTCAGCCATAACTTTAAAAAGTGGTCTCATTAGTTGGGACCAAACTTTTTGCCTTAACAAATACAAATTCATCTTGGACTTTGTTCGTATAGAACTTCATTTTTTTCCTTTATTGTGAAGAGATGTTTATGCGATTTATTATTGAATTTCTTTGAACATTTTTACAGATATATGGAGACTTGCTCAACAAGTGAAAGTGAGGCAAAGGTTTGAGTTTTTTCTGCTTTTGGTGTTGTTTACCTGCTCAAGTTTTGTGATACGATCACTGCTGAAGTTCCCTGAAGTTTGTAAAGTTAAGGCTTTTTGTCATTTACCTGTTTACAGTCCAAGCACTGGCTTCTCCTTTTTTTTGTTGTATTATACCAAGTTAAGTGGGAGAATGCCATTTATGACAAGTAGTTCTTTCACTTACTGCAATATGTTGCAATTAGTTATATGAATATGATGCGATTATGGGCTTGGTTGGGCACATGCTATAGTTTATGTCAGTGTCTCAGTCTGGCAAGCATATTTGGTTATTTGGACCTTGTTTAATGTTCACCGTTTATCTCATCTGCAAATATTTGTTCCATTGGATGCGGTTCATGCATAATATGTAGTTGTTAATGTGGAGAATTTATTATCATTTTTAGCTCTGCTGACATTTATCATGAATGAACAGAAAATGAAAATTTGTAAAACTCACTAGCTGGAATAAGGATGATGATAATGATCGATAAAAAGCATTAATTTTCAATTTATGGAAATACTTTGGCTTTTTGTATATGGGCGGAGCAATTTTGAAGATGAATGATCTCTGCTTCTATAGATCTATATCCAGGTTATAAATTTAATATTTAGTGCATCTCAACTGCTTCCTTAAGCATCTTTGTTTGTTAAGCAGAACCAATACCACAAATGGAAATTAAGTCAGAGTGAGGCATTACATGCTTTTAATGTTTAAATTTCAATGCAAGTTGTTTGCTTGCAAGTTTCCTTATAAAATGTTTTAAATTTCTTATAAAATTTAAGTTTTTGAGTTTATGGTTTAGATATGATGTCATCACGTATTAACATATTTGGGTGGAGTGAAAGATTTCATTTCATTTTATTTTCATTCATATCTTATTCATTCATCTATCTTTCAGGGTTATAGCCACAGCAGTTACTTATTTTAGACGTGTATATACAAGGTATGTTCTAATTTACTTAGCTTTCGGTTTAGACATAGTATTTTCATTGTTTAGGCTAAAAATTGAGTAGGCCTAGCAGTCTAACTTCTGGTACTTATATTGTCTTTTCAGTATGTTTATGAACATAATTATATTCAATCTTGTTGTTAGTTGATTTTAACTGTTTTCGGAATATTTTTTTCACTCTAAATTTATGATTAATTGATCGGTTATCTGGAGATCCTCTTGCAACTCTTACATTTTGTCATTTTCATTTTTTTTTTACAGAAAAAGCTTGACTGAGTATGATCCTCGGTTTGTTGCTCCAACTTGCTTGTACTTGGCATCAAAAGCAGAGGAAAGCACTGTGCAGGCTCGAATGCTAGTTTTTTACATTAAAAAAATGTGTATGTTTTCTTTTTTCCTTCCATGCATATATCTTAATAACTACAATTTTCTTGCATTCCTCAACACTTTTATTTTCTTTCTGGAGCTAATTTTGTTTCATAATAGGTACTGATGAGAAGTACCGTTGTGAAATCAAAGATATTCTTGAGATGGAAATGAAATTGCTCGAAGCCCTTGACTATTATTTGGTTGTTTTTCATCCTTATCGTCCATTACTTCAGTAAGTTTTTGCAACACATTTTTTAAAGTGCATTTACCTTAATGTTTTAGCACGAACTTTAATTATCTTGTAGAAATTTTTATGGTTATTGATTTTATTTCGCTGCTTGCCACTGTATTATTGAGGAGCCACCAACCTAAAATTTGAGTTCAATTTTCAATCAACTCAGAAACAGCATTTTGTTTTCAGTGTTAAGGCTTAGTCTTTCTGAACTACTTTCATATCAAAATATATTTTCCCTATAATAAATATTAGTCTTTATATGCTTGATTTTTGGTCCAAATGGCTTAGCCTGGTATCCGCACAAATTTCTACAAACCATTAGAATGAAGTCCTTGGTATATTTCTTTTCATTGAATTTAGTATCAAATAAAAGGCTCAGAGGCTCAACATCAGTGACATTGAAGCAGAGCTATGTGGGGGGCTGCTTTAACGATGGGAAGGCATGAAGCAGATTTAGTTTTGTGGGTTGAAGCAGTTGGGGTGCAATGGTGGTGAGCTGTGATTGTGTCAAGAGCAGATTGCTTAGAGTAGGAGTATATATGATTAGTGGTCATGCGGCAATGTCAGACTACAGGGTTGTTGGGCTGGGGGCACAGAAGGCTAAAGTGAGCAGTGCTAACGAGAAAAGTTGTGTTCAACATTGCAAGGGCTTATGAAACACAAGATTTAAAATTGCCCAATCGACGTTGAGTTTTTTTTTTTTTTTTGGTATGATGAGGTTGTAACCTCATAATCAAACCAATGAACAAATAAAAACTGTGAAATACTAAGCAACATACTAACATCAAAGTAAGATCATAATAAGTCAAGGTAAGGTGATAAAAATGTCCTTCCCATTCCTAATTCAACATAAACAAGCAGTCTAGTCACTAAGATCATATTTTATGAATTTAAAAGGCTTCCTTGCTCTCCACATTTGATAGTCTTTATTAAAATCATCATCATGGTTAATTATTCTGTCCTCCCTCATCCACATATGTGTCATGATCATCTCAATCTTTTTCATCTTTGATTTCAACATTTTTTGTCTTTTCTAATAAGAGCATCAATGAAATTTTGAGAAAATGACTATATTGATGATTAGAATTTCAATTACATATGGTTTTATGCTAACTTTTTATTACAGTTTTACTGATTTGTTTTTATACTAAAGTTTGTTACTAACCATTTTTCACAATAGTTGCATTTCAAACAAACACAGCTCTTTTTGTTCTCCTCAATTTTCACTTGAACAATGTATCTTCATGCTAGAGTTTTTTTTCCATTGAGATTTAATGAGAACTGTAAAGCAAAGCTTTCTTTTTTTCTTAATATATATATATATATATATATATATATTTTGTTTAATAATTGTTCTAAGTATTAGGTATACACGCGCACACACACACACATCCAATCTCTATAGATTAAGAATATTTCTAATAGAGAGAAGAAAGATACCCTTCTTGCTCCTCAATACCTTAATCCTCAAGAAGTACTTTAAGGAACTCAGATCTTTAGTGTTGAATTGATTTTGAAGAAATAATTTCAATGATATGATTCTCTGCACATCGTTTCTAGTAATAGTAATGCCATCAATATAAACCACCAACAGAATGATATCAGAAACAAATTGTTTGTAGAATACAGTATGATCAGTTTTACTTTTCTGCATCCTAAACTCTTCTATTGATAGGCTAAATCTTCCAAACCTTGCTTGAGGATTTTGCTTCAATCCATATAATGATTTCGAAGATGACATATTTTCCCAGACTCTTTCTGAGCAACAATCCCAAAAGGATGCTCCATGTATATCTTTTTTAAAGACACCATGTAGAAAGATATTCTTTACATCAAGCTGGTGATGGGGCTAATTATTCATTGCAGCTAAGGACAAAAAGAAATGAACCAATGTCAACTTAGCTACCAGAGAGAACGTGTACAAGTAGTCAATCCCATGAGCATAACTCCTAGGAACCAATCGAGCTTTAAGAAACTACAGATTCATCATAATGAAACTTAACTTCAAAGACCCATTTGCAGCCAACAACCTTCTTACCAGAAGTTATTTCAGTTACTTCCCAAGTTCTATTTTCACTCAAGGCAGTCATTTCAATAAGCATTGTTGACTGCCACCCAAAATGGGATAGGGCTTACTAAACAGATCTCGATACCTTAATAAAGTCAAAAGAGGCAATAAATAAACAAGAGGTAGAAGATATCTGGTTATAGATTACACAAGGAAATAGGATATGCACATTGATGTTACCTCTTCGAAGAATAATATGTACATCAAGTTCATTAAGAGGAGGATACACTTAATAAGATATCACTGTTGGACTAGGATAAGGGGGATGAGATTTTCTTAAGTAAGCATTAGTTGAGGCGCTGGTGGTGGAGGCGGAGCTGGAATAGGATCTGAATTGATGATCTGTACATTAACAATTCATCAAACTCTTAGGAAGATGCAGGTGCCAACGAGTCACTAAAGAATGTGATTTTTTTATGAAATGTGACATCAACAGAGATAATGTATCTGTTTAGGAGGAAAACTATTGATACCCGTTTTGCAAACGAGAGTATCTTAGAAAGATACATCTTAATGAGTTAGAGTCTAGTTTAGAGACCAATGAGTATCACGAACAAAATAAGTTCACCAAAATATACGTGGTTCAACAAGAAAGAGACATTTGGTTAAAAATAAGATTTGGTAGGGTATCTTTGCTCCATAAAATAATATAAAACATCCAATCGATAAAAAAACATGTAATAGAACCTACATCAACCTAGAATTGTTTGAGTACATATTTTGAAACAAAAGAGCTCTAGTTGTCTCAAGAAGGTATATATTTATTCGTCAACTATATTTTGGGATGGAATATCGACACAAAATGGCTGTTGAACAACGTTTTAAAAGACATATTTAGGTCGCGCCCCTTGGCGAGGCGTGAGCCGTTTCACCCCAGGCCCATGAGGGGGGCGCAATCCTCACGAGACTTATGCCCCACGAGCTTAGTTT